GGGTTTAGGGATTTAGGGGTTCAGGATCCTTTAAGGGGATCTTTCAGAGTACCTGATGTAGGGGCCATAATAATTAGAATAGGGTTTTGGGGTTTGTTTTACTGTAACTATAATAAGGAGCTCCCAAAATAGTGTTGGTAATTATTTAGGCTCCTATAGTATCCTTTAAGGGTTCCTTGTGGTTGTTTAGGGGTTTCGTGCTTTACGGGCTTAAGGTTCAGGGGCGTGCAGGTGTAGGGTTTAGGCTGCTGTTTGGGGCCTGGTCTAGACTAGAGCTTTGGGGGTTTTGGGGTTGCCCTATTATGCCTAAACTGTTTCGGTTAGGGTTTAGGGTTTATGGTTCAGGGTTTAGGCTTTAGGTCTAAACTTGGCCAGAAACTCTCAAGGATCAAATCAACAAAAAACAGTTGACGGAGGTCTTCTCGCCCCGAGCATGAACCCCAAACCCGAAATCGTAATCCTACAATAACCCTGAACCCTGAACCTTCATAAGCGCTCTTGGCAGCCCGCAGTGTCACCCAAGCGCTCGAACTCAGCAATTGCGGCCGCAAAGGCCTTGCTGCGGGAGTTCAGGGTTTAGGGTTTAGGGATGTAGACGTGTGTTGTGGTGTGCGCCCAGGTTCAATGTTGCTTCCGAACCCGCCCACCCAGTCTATGACCTTGTCGGGATCAGGGTTTCTTGTATGATTGTCGACTTGCGTCTAGACCTCATTCCCAAAATCCTCAAGTTCGTCGCCGCTTCTAGGTCGCGATATGTGGCTTGGCCTCCGGGGCATGGTGATTGAAGTCCTCATGTGCTTTTCGATTTCCGTCTAGCTTGACAGACCCCAGAGGTAAAAGATTCAAAGGTCGAGATTTTGTGCCCTGGACTCTGCGGCTGGGGTCGAAGTCTACCTAAACCCTATACCTTAACCCTCCAAAACCCACATTTTGTAAGGTCCCTATAAGTCCCATATTAGGGATTATAGTAAGAACCTACAAAAAAAAGTGGGTTTTGGTGGGTTCAGGTAGATGCTGAAATCCTAAATACGACGGGCTGGCAGCGCTCCTGTGTCAAGTTAAAGGAAACTACAGGTGGGGAGTTTAGGGTATATAGGGCTTCTATAAGGCTTCCATAACGTATATAGACCTTCTATAAGGCTCCTATAACGGTAACTACCCACCTGAAAATGTCCTAGATCAAGGTTTGTGGCCTGGACGGAGGGGCACCGCCTTCATGCTGAAATACCTACTGCTAATTTTACGGTTTCGGGTTTAGGGTTTGTTTTTTTTTAAAGTTGAAATGCACCCACTCGCACGAAGTCGGCACTGGCCCTGTCGGCCTTCAACAGTGAAACAACCTCAAGTCTCCTTGGAAACATAAGAAACACCTCTGGGACTGCGAGAGCGATCCCTACGCACAGACAGTGGCCCGACAACCCCATTCCGTGCAACTGTAGGGGGGCACTCACTGACATGCTCACTCACATCAGCGCTCTCAGACGACATCCCATCCGTAGACCCCATTGCGACTGAAGACACCACTCCATTAGGCAAGGGTTTAGGGTTTAGGGTTGAGGGTTGAGGGTTTAGGGTTTAGGGTTGTCACCGAACTTGGGTCAAGGCTTTTGGCCTGGACTGGTCTTGAAGCCTAACATAGCCTAAGACTAGATCCTAAAACCTGGTTCCTAAATCCTAAACCCTGATTCTTAACAAATTCAAATCCTACACCCCGGTTCCTACATCCGAAAATCCTAAACCTTCATTATATTCCTAATTCCTAAATCCCAAACCCTAAATTTAAATCCTAAACCGCGGTTCCTACACCCTAAACTTTCCTTAGCCCTGGTTCCTGAATGCTAAACCCCTGTTCCTAAGTTCTAAACCCTGTTTCCTATATCCTAAAACTAAACCCCGGTTCTTGAATCCCAAGTGCTTGAGCCCTGAAAGCTCAATCTAGGGTGTGGGGTTTGGGTTTTAGGGCTTCGAAACCAGGCAGCCTCTTTGGACAATAAGAGCGGACGTTACCATCACACAAACAATGTAATATAGGGGCCTTAATACAGGGTTCTGGGGCCCAGTATACTATAATCATACTAAGGGACCCCACAAAATAATATAGGCAATTATTAAGGCCCCTAAACCCCCAAAACCCGAAAACCTTTAACCCTAAACCTCTAAACCCTAAACCTTAATTGAGGATGCGCCTAGTCCAAGGCCGGTCGCTGGATGTTAGAAGCTCCCGATATTGGGCTTGACATCAGATGTCTCGTGTGCTTAGTATAGAGGCCTTAATAATTAGGGTTTAGGCTTTAGGGTTCGGGTTTAGTTTAGGGTTTAGGGGTTTAGGGTTTAGGGCTTAGGGGTTTAGGGGTGTAGGGTTATTTTTCCACTGAAAGCGTCAATGCCAACTGCTTCTCCATGATCTGCTAGCTGGTCAGGTGTTTCATGGCTAGCTGAATCGTTTAGACTTCAGGGTTAAGCGTTTAGGGCCGGATGATCACTCCTCTTTCACTTCAGTTTAACCCGCCATCGGGAAAAGCAGCGAATCTCAAGACATCAAAGTCATGAATGGCTTACGTCTTCCCCAATATCTGTATAGTAGAAATCCCGACCCCACCAAATCTTAGTCTATTTAGTCTCGGGCTTCTAAGCCCTAAAACCCTAAACCCTGAAGGGAAGAAAGGAAGCCTTAAAGTGGAACCCCTATAGATCCCTTAGTGATACCCTAAACCCTATACCCTAAACCCTAAAACCTTAAATCCTAAACTCCAGAACCCAAAACCCAAAATCTAAAACCCTAAACCTTATCTTCCCTGAACACATGCCTTGGCGTCGAGAGGTCTAGGACGGGCTGGGCTGTCCACGACGCGGAGCATTTCCTGAAACAGGGCTTTACCCATGGGCTTACCATTGGTTTGGGGCTTCGGGTTTTCAGGGGGTTAGGGTTTTAGGGTTATAAGGGTTAAGGGCTTTGGGGTGTAGAGCTTACGATTGGTTTCAGATTTTGCAGCTTCAGGGTCCAGGGCCCTTAATCTTCGAGTTTGGGGTGCTTTTGAAGGTTTATAGGGGTTTAGGTTTAGGGCTTAGGGTTTGGGGGTTGTTTTCTTCTAACACCATGTCTGACATGGTAGCTTCTGGGAGGTTGTCGTTGGGCGGTGACGGCAAGGCATGCTCCCTACGGTTGATGATAGGGTTTAGGGTTTAGGGGGGAATACGGCGCCGTACACCATAATTCCTACAGTTTAGGGTCCTTAAGGTAATGCAGGATTTGTATCATCAACAGTACGACAATCTGGGTTTTCAGAAAGGGTTTGGGGTTTAGGCTTTTGGGCTTAGGGGTTTAGGGTTTGGGGCTTAGGAGTTTAGGGTTTAGGGGTGCCTCTTGAATTTGGGGGGTTCCTTATAACCCGGAGATTGTGAAACGCCGATCTAGCATCGGGACTCAGGGTCTGGGTTGAAAGTTTGGGCTCAGGGTTTAGGGTTTAGGGTTTGGGGTTTGGGGCACAGGGTTATTGAACTCTTGGTCTCTAGGGTTTAAACTTTGGCACGAACCGTCGCGTACTCTTCGACCCGGGCTGCTTAAGTACTCCGCCTACCTCCGAAGCGAAG